TGGATTCCTTGATTTTTTAGTTTGTTTATGTTTGGTTCTTTGTTTAAAATTACTGTGTTTTTAATAGATATACTATGATTTTTTGAGTTGAAATGGTGAAAAACATGGGATGTTTTTTTTATTGTGTTCTATGAATCTGTGTCAGTGTAAACTACTTGTACCTCATGATGACAAAACCTTGATGCAATGTTGTACATTTGCTGTTATGTTAAACTTCTATTAAAGTTTTTCTTCATTACCCATTCAAGCTGTCTCCAAGCATTATTAGTTTCTAAGTGGGTTCCTCGTCATTGAATTTGAACACATAAACTTATTAAATACATAACTAATTATGACAGTTACAGTTCATTTTAGAAAATAATAATGTTGTTGCTAGCAGCAGTTTTGGATCTGTCAGTGGATAGAAAATATAATTAGCAGCCATTTGCTAATTGCTTCAATAGTTAAGGTCAAAGCCTGCCTTGTAGAGCTTACATGCTAATGTAAAGAAAGTTTTAGTGGCATTACTGAAATATTACAAAAAATATCCACCTGAAGAATTTGTTTTTGTTTTTTTAATCTGGCATACATGCGCTAATTTTTTCCCTTAATTTCCCATTTTAAATGTCAATTTATGTCAATAATGGTTTGAACCAATTGCTCAGTAGTTTCTCCTTCATGACATTTAAAAGTCAGATGTATGTATAAAGTGAATGTTAAAATTATTAATACCCTCATAATGTGAAAACATATGCAGTATGTCAAAAGCCAGTCACACAGTAGGCTGGTGAGTAGTAAGACCTACATGATTTACTCCACTGGTGCTCATTACTTCTTAAAAACCAAAATTATTGCTGTTATTGAGAATTTATTATCTTTGAAGTAAGTTAACATTAACTACATTCATAAACGGTGTCACATCCTTACACACACACAAAAAAAAACTATTAAATTTTCTATAACACAACATACAGCATGGTGGAAGGGAACTTAAATATCTTGTATGTATCAGAGTGCACACTTGCACTCTCTTTGGAGTAATGCAATGAAAAAAAAATGGCCACCATTACTGCAATACCTAAACTCAGATGATGTTTATACTACAACAGCCACCACAACACTGACATGAAGAGCCATTTATTGAGTTATACACACTTCCTACTTTGACCCGTGACCTTACAACATCTGCAACTAATGACCATCAATTAATTAATAACCTGTAACAGTGTGAAAAGTCATTAAGAGGTGGATGTTGAAAGCGAGTAAAAGAAAGCACCCCAACTGCCACTACCTCTTAGTACAAAGTCACCCTGCCAATCGCGCAGCGTATACCATGTTTTAAGTATATACATAATGAGTTCTTAAAGCTTATACAAAGCTTTTGGTGAGGTAATAATGAATATTGTAGAATATGTTATAAATCAATTGTGTGAAAGTTAGGATTATTGTGTTACTCATCATAGCATCCACATTTTTATAAGTTCATAACCCTGAAAAAGGACAGGTACCTCGACTCGTTAACTTATAATTACCATCAGGCCATATACCATGCTCTTGAAAGCAGCTTAATATTTTGATATTTTATAAAATGAGAAACCCAATGGATAAACTGATAGCTACAGATCTGTTAGTCTCATTAGTTGCATACAAAAACTTCTATAATCAATGCCATCTTCTTACCTTCTTAGAAATCAGATAAGCTACCAGAAATCCAAAAAGGCTTTATAAAATCAAGACAAACAATAGATTACCTGAAAATATATCTTGTGATAATCTTCTTCTGTAACAGTAACATTTCTTATGTATCTATATATGTAAACTACAATTTATACAATAAAATTAATAAATCGGGGTAAATATACAGATTTTTTAAAACAAAGCAAAAATAAAAAAATTCTATATCACATTATATAATTTTTCAGAGTAAGTGTTATAATCTATAACCTACATATCATTACGTACAGTAGTACTTAATAGTAAGGATCGTAATGAAACCAAACGGAGGCCATAAAAATCACCCCTTTGAAAAAC